CAAGAGGCAGAATTCCCGCCTTGTCGCCAGGTCGGCTTTTTGAGAGACGATCAGTCACGTTGGTTTTAAATTGTGTTTGCAGCGCATTTCCCACCGCTCACCAGCACCCTTTGCGCTGAGTGTGTGTGGGGGAGTGTTTTAGGATTGAAGACGATCCAAAAACGTTGACTCAATGGGAAACCCAGTCTCTTCTCTCCGTCATTCTCCATTTCCTACACACCACCGCACTGTAACCGGACACAGGACTCTGAAATCCCCCTGTGAAGGAAGCTAAGGGCATGCAAATGCCAGATTCATTATGGCTCATTTTTAATTCAGCTCCGTCCCTTCACGGTCAGGCCCGATAGGATGAAAATCCCTTTCAACGAACAACCCTCTAGTAAAATATTCATGAGAATGGCATTTTACACTGTAGGATTTTCCTTCTGTAAGATCATCAGAGAAAACCACACAACTGGCGTGAATCCCGATCGCTTCTATTTTACCTCTAGAGTCATTCAGAGTTACACGAGCTACGGAACTGGACCTGGGTCTCTTTTCGTCTAGCGATAGACACCGATGCAGCTGCAATGTTGCTTTGGTAGATGCAGGAATGGTGTAAATTGTTCTCTAATATTTAGAGCGGAATCACGTTATAGAACTAAAAAGGCCCAAATCCCCCCATTGTTTGCAATTGTCATCCTGCTCCTCATTCTTCAAACGGTTTCAGCCACGTTTTGGCATCAGATGCGCCCTCATTGGAGAAATCCTATTTGGCGAACGTGGTTTTAGAGTAACATTCCCAAAGGGCAGGGGGAGTAATCGAGCACTAGAACGGGAAGGGACCCAGCACGGCCCTCCTGGCAGGACCAAGCACTGTCTAGACCAGGGGTGGCCAAGCCAGTTAACAAAGAGAGCCGAAACAGCCGTGGAAACGATGCAAAGAGCTGCACCAGAATTGCCGAGAAAAGGGGAAAAAAAGGAACCCCCCCCCCAAAAATTGACAAGCCGAGCTACGGAACTGGACCTGGGTCTCTTTTCGTCTAGCGATAGACACCGATGCAGCTGCAATGTTGCTTTGGTAGATGCAGGAATGGTGTAAATTGTTCTCTAATATTTAGAGCGGAATCACGTTATAGAACTAAAAAGGCCCAAATCCCCCCATTGTTTGCAATTGTCATCCTGCTCCTCATTCTTCAAACGGTTTCAGCCACGTTTTGGCATCAGATGCGCCCTCATTGGAGAAATCCTATTTGGCGAACGTGGTTTTAGAGTAACATTCCCAAAGGGGGTGGAGGGAGAGAAGGAAAGGAAAGGGGAGTAATAGAGCACTAGAACTGGAAGGGACCTTGAGACGTCAGTGAGGCCTGTCCCCTGCCCTCCTGGCAGGACCAAGCACCATCTCGACCAGGGGTGGCCAAGCCAGTTAACAAAGAGAGATGAAACAGAAGCAGAAAAAATGCAAAGAGCTGCACCAGAATTGTTGAGGAAAGAAAAAAAAAAAACACGGAACCCGGCAACCCCAGCAGAATTGTCATGCAAAAAAAAAAAAAAAGAGGCTGTCCCTTTAAGAAAGAAGCTTAGGCTTTTTGGCCATATCCCGTCACCAGCTGCCATCTTGGGATCCATTTTGAATCTCTGCCCCAGTGAACACATGGGAGCCGGGGGCGGGAGGGAGGCAGGGGCTGTTTGGGGAATGGGGGGCAGGATCAGCTTCATAAGTCAAATGTGTGGGGAGGAGCTGCAGGCAGCTCGTGAGCTGTGGGTCGGCCACTCCTGGTCTAGCCCATCCCCGGCAGGCGTCTGTCCAACCGGCACTTACATAGCTCCAGAGATGGGGATTCCACAAACTCCCTGGGCAATTTATTCCAGTGTTTCACCATCTCGACAGGCAGGAAGTTTTCCCTAATGTCCAACCTAAACCTCCCTTGCTGCAGTTTAAGCCCATTGCTGCTTGTCCTGTCCTCAGAGGCCAAGGAGAACAAGTTTTCTCCTTCCCCATTATGACACCCTTTTAAATACCTGAAAACAGCTCTCATGTCCCCCCTCAGTCTTCTCTTTTCCAAACTAAACAAACCCAATTCCTTCAACCTTCCCTCCTAGCTCATGTTCTCTAGACCTTTCATCATTCTTGTTGCTTTTCTCTGGACCCTCTCCAATTTCTCTACATCTTTCTCGAAATGTGGTGCCCAGAACTGGACACAATCCTCCAACTGAGATCTAACCAGCGCAGAGTAGAGCGGGAGAACGACTCCTCGTGTCTCGCTCACAACACTCCTCTTCATGCATCATAGAGTCATGTTTGCTTTTTTTTTTGGCCACAGCATCACATTGCTGCCTCATATTTAGCTTGACCCACTCTGACCCCTAGATCCCTTTCTGCAGGACTCCTCCCGAGACAGTCACTTCCCGTTTTAAGCGTGTGACATAGATTGTTCCTTCCTAAAAGGAGAACTTTGTATTTCCCTTATTAAACTTCATGCTATGTTCCTCACAGCACTGATTGCGGGTCGGCACCTCCTAAACTCAAACCTCCAGTCCTCTGAAGAAGTGGGCGGTGCCCACGAAAACTCATGATGCCATCGACATGTTTTGTGAGTCTATAAAGTGCTACCAGACCTTTGTTGTTTTTTAAGTTTATCCTGAACAGACTAACTCAGCTGTCCCCGAGTCTTCCAAACATTTCTCCAGTTTGTCCAGGAGGAGAGGAGAGGAGAGGAGAGGGGAGGGGAGGGGAGGGGAGGGGAGGTGAAGATCCCTTTTTGAAAATTCAAGCAGAGAGAAAAAATCTACATGAGGCCTGGTAGCTCAGCTTAAGGTACGCAACTTGAGCTACGTAAAATACAGAGCTGGAGTCAGCTTACCTTAAGCCAAGGTTGGTGCCGTCTTCACTGTGGGAGGACAACAGGAGCGATTTTCCCCTTAATCCTCGTGGCTGCAAAGAACCCTGACACTGCCCTTTTTGAAAATTCAAGCAGAGAGAAAAAATCTACATGAGGCCTGGTAGCTCAGCTTAAGGTACGCAACTTGAGCTACGTAAAATACAGAGCTGGAGTCAGCTTACCTTAAGCCAAGGTTGGTGCCGTCTTCACTGTGGGAGGACAACAGGAGCGATTTTCCCCTTAATCCTCGTGGCTGCAAAGAACCCTGACACTGACCACCAACGCACTCAGAATTTGATGTAGTGGGTCTTCCCTAGACCTGCTTAATCGAACATCAGCAGGTCGATCTCCGGCACAGCAAGTGGAGGCGTGGCCTAAGAATAGAACCCCCGATCCTGGAAACAGGAACGCCCCCACTGCTGGGATAAAGTGCTGTAGCTCCCTAAGGACTTGTCTACACTAACGGGCACCGTCGATCTACTTCAGTTACACAAAGAGAGTAGCTGAAGTCAACTTACCACGGTGTTGGGTGTGCAAGAGCGGCAGGGGCTGCTCCCCCGTCCACACCAGCTACTCTCCTCATCTTGGAGGAGAACTGGCACCAATGGGAGCACACGCGGAGATTGATTTATCGCAAGCACGGACAGAGCATGGACAAGGCCTTAGAGTCAATGTGTTCCACCCCCCCTCTGCTCTAAATCAGCCGTCGCGCCCCTAGTGTCCACGCGGTCCTCTCTCCCGCTGTCCTACGTTAGCGCACGTTGATTGACAGTAAAACAGTGACGCCAATTTCTGCCGGATCGGGACCGGGCCACGCAACAGATTTACATGCAGAAATGAAGCAGATTTGAGTCAGAAGGGTCACAACAGGAAACTCGTAAAGTTTTCTTGATGCAAATCTTGTTCTGTATTTTATTAATGATCTGGATGAGGGGACAGATCGCACCCTCAGCAAGTGTGCGGAGGACACTAAGCTGGGGGGAGAGGTAGATACGCTGGAGGGCAGGGAGGGGGTCCAGAGTGAACTAGACAGATTAGAGGATTGGGTCACAAGAAATCGGATGAGGTTCAACAAGGACAAATGCAGAGTCCTGCCCTTGGGACAGAAGAATCCCAAGTATTGGTACAGGCTGGGGACCGACTGGCTAAGCTGCAGGTTGGTGGAAAAGGCTCCTGGGGATTGCAATGGGTGAGAAGCTGAAGATGAGTCTAGAGGGGGCCCAGAACTGGACACAACACTCCAGCTGTGGCCTCTCCAGTGCTGAATAAAGAGGAATATTCACTTCTCTAGATCTGCTGGCAACGCTCCTCCTAATTTACCCCAATATGCCATCAGCCTTCATGGCTACAAGGGCACCCTGTGCATTACTTCATACAATATAACGGCTCTCCTGCCTGGCACTGAAATGCGGCTACCTCTGGGGTGAAGCATGAGGACTAGTGACACAGGGAACTCTCCCCGGCACAGCTGTCTCAGTGGGGCTATACGGGGACTCTTTAGTCCTTTGGAAAAACAAAAAGAAATTTGAGACTTCGGGGCCGTTACTCCCACGGACGCCCCATGACTCGGGTGGAAGCAGCGGCTGTCAGGGCGGGGGTTACAGAACCGGGGGTCAGGGCTGTGGGGGTGATGTTAGGATGCATTCAGATGCTCCGTCGGGTACAATTGCATTAAGTCACAGGATTCTAGCAGGAGGAGCATGATTCATAATTAAAAAGGCACAAAATCATGGGAAAGCTGCGGCGACAGGTGATGTGTGGAATAAATGCCCTCAATATATGTAGAGGGTCTACATCTGAAGCAAGTAACAGGCGGGACTTTCATTCTATTGAGTCTGAAAGTCGAGCCACCGAAGCCAAGCCCGTGGTGCTGTCTAGTGACACCACTAATCATGCTAAATCGAAAGAGAGGAGAGGCTACAGCCAGTGGGCTCCTCTTCTGTCAGCAGGAGGCAGAGGCACCCACGTTGGTGGCAGCGGTGGGATCCCAGCTGAGGGTTATATATAAGCTAGGCCCAGGCTGGCTAGGGGGATCTGCACCAAGAGCCCCCTGCTGGCCTTGGGACTCTCAGTGGGGGGCTGGGTACAGAGATCCCGGGGGACTCAGAGCCCGAACACGGCAGGGCCAACGCGGTAGCAGGAGACTCATGAATTCTAATTGGTGGCAGCGGTGGGATCCATGCTGGGAGTTAGCTCCAGGCTGGGCTGAGGCTGCACCCAGTGCCCACTGCTGGCCTCAGGGCCCCCACTTGATGGCCCAGGGTAGCTTGTGGGTGCAGGGATCCCTGGGAGGTCAGAGCCCAAAGACGGCAGGGCCCACACTGCAGCCCAGCAAAGCATTGGCGGCTTCCAGGCACTCGCTCAGCCAGGGCCCTGCAAGGAGAAGGAGATCGATGGGGAGACACCGGCCCAGGAAATGGGGAGCGACCAGGAGGTGGGGGGAGACACGAGCGAGGGGAACAGGAGGAGCAAAGAGCAGAGAGATCGCAGAGCGTGGCGGGACTGGCACGAGGGTCAGAAAGTAAAGGTGTCAGGGGATGAGGCATGGCGACCTCTGAAGGATGGTGGGATCGGGACTGGGATAGGCTGGGGGCAGAGGTGTGGGAGGCAGGGTGGGGTTCTGAGTTGTGGGGTTTCCATGGGGCAGGAGCTCTCCCGATGATACCCTGAGCCCCCTCCCTCCCCGCACACCCTCCTACCTGCTCGATCCTGCACCCAGACCACAGCTTTTGCCTCCAGCAGCTCCCACTCGTCGCGCTGCCCCGCGGCCCGGCCGTGCAGCCAGACCACGGCCAGCACCGTGGCCCAGACGCCAGGGACCACGTCCTGTGGAGGAGAGACAGTCTGAGACAGGGCGGGTCTGGGAACCTCCCTGCCCCCCATCTCTCCCCTCCCCCGCACTCACCTCACTGGGCATCCTCCCCCTGGCGTCGGTCTCGCTCACCCCCAGTGCGGCGGCCAGTGTGGGCCCCAGGTCCCAGGAGCCATCGGCGTTCTGCAGGGACACCAGCCTCAGCAGGGGAGAAGCTTGCTCTGAGGAGAGACAGGGGGAGATGGAGCTGGGACGTGAGTATATAACAATGACACGGACACTGTGACCCTCTGCGTGTCCTTAACTCTGTCCGTCCATGGGCGTCCTTAACTCTGTCCGTCCATGGGCGTCCTTAACTCTGTCCCATTCCTGGGCATCCTTCACCTCCTGCTCTGAGCCCTTAATGCCCCGGTCACGGGCATCCGTCCTGTGGTTCTCTGCACCACTGACCCCTCCATGGTCACCCTTAACTCTGCCCCTTCCTTCACCCGTAGAAAGACAATATTCAGAGTTAGGCACCCAACTGCCTTCAACCCCTGTGACTCTCCTAGCCCCAGCCATTAATCTCACAATCCCGGGGTGATCTCAAACAGAATCTGACCTCAGGACCATCCTCCACTTCAACCTGCAAGGGACGCCTGCATGGAAGGAAAGACACAAGCATCCAAGGGAGTGAGGGCGATGGGATGGAACACCATCCATATGGCGTCATAGCTACGCATGTGCCAGGGTCACGGGGCAGAGTTAAGGTGATCTGGACTGCAGTAACTAGCCAAATCCGGGCTTTAAGGGGAGCTTTCACTTCCAGATTTCGGCCTTTCACGGGCTTCTTTGATGATGACCCAAAATTGTGCTCACAATGATGTGCCCCAGAATTCACACAGACCCACATCCGAGCGCCGGCCCCGCTCCTCAGGGCGGTTGGGCTGGGAAAGTTCACCCTGGTCTCTTTCAGGGAAAACAACTCGGCCCCATTTCTGTTCCGAACGAGCGACTGATCCCCCCTCCCTCCCCGCTACCCACACGACCCTCCGACCCCGTTAGCCACCCCGATACCAACTCCCACCCCACAACCCAGCTTCACCCAGCATCTGCCGGGGAGTT